TTAATATTTGTAACATGTTATGTGTAAACTCTTTTTGCAATGAAAATAGAATTTTGCAGACTTACAACAAGGTAGGACAGGGAACAAAGTCCTATGGTTAAAACTGATTCGGTCTTTAGTTTATGCTGAGTGTGGAAAACTCTCTGGCCAATCTGTGTTTGCCTTGAGTGTTTTATTTGAAGAGTGTAAATAGAAGTCTAACAAAAGTTAGCAAAGTCAACATTGACTGGTTAGACTAAGGCTGTTTGATTGAATCTGTGAGGTGAATCATTTTTATTTATCGTTACCCTTTGAGGCAGTTGCCGGAAGGCCTCAAAGAACTGTTTCGCTGTCTCCTCTGGCATGTTGGACACCATTGAGCCTAAGGTAAAGACAATGAACCCATCGTCTCCAGAGCCATCCACAAACTCCTTTATTTCCTGCAGGGAGAATCAGAAACACAGAAAAATGACATTAAAAAACTCAGCTCGTAATGTTTATGGATTTATGTTCATTCAATACAATATCTAGTGGACACGGTTCAATACCCGCCAACATATTTTTAAGTTGCAGCTATTGCCGCACTTCTATTGTAAAGCTGTTGCCACACATTTGTTTTCCTAATATATTGTTAGCAATGACCTACATCAACAAATGACGTAAAACAAATTTTGTTATCCTGGAAGTTCCTTTAATTTTCTTATTTATAATCTGACGTAGCTTTTTATGTTAATGTAGTTCAAAACACACAATTGTTGTCAAAGGACACTGCCACTTTCTTTTTACATCTGTTTTAATCTTGGAGAATTAACTGAAAATAGCATATTAGCATATTATTTTCATAAAGTGGTTGATTACTGTACTGAAGTGATGATTCATGATTTATTTGCCATTAAATGTGAATGTTTTATCTTCTTCACTCATAGAATGAAAGTGAACCAGATAATAATAATAATTTATCATAAGATTTGCACGTGTGAGCCTGCTCTTAGCCTGACTCAACACAGAGTGAGTATGAGTGATTTGTCTTAAGTGATCACAGATGTTTACTCTGGCATACATTCTTACTACTCACCGCTGGCAGAGGAGCCTTCTTTGCACAATTGATACCTCCAATAAAAGCCATGTTTGGCATGATCGGTTTAGGCCATTCAAACGTAAAGTCATATCTGAGAAGCCATATAGCACCATAACTAATAAGTTCCTTGTAGGTCATCTTTTCTTCTAAATGCCTGCTGACTAGATCGTCAAAGTTGCTGTAGATTATTCTGCACACGTAGGACTCCACACCAGACATGAGCATGTTTTTGACTCTTTGTGGGAAGGTCATGATGTTTGTATTGCCAGAGAAGGCTGCAGGAACGTAGGAGGGAGGAGAGGGGCATTGGTTTGCCTTTGTATCCAGTCCACATGGAAGTTCATGCAGGAAATAAACAGCTGGAATGGAAAGGAGATGAGCCAGGATGGAGCCGCAGGGAAGGAAGGGGTCAGTAAGCACAAGATCAAAGCCCCTTACCCTCAGCCGACTCATCAAAGTCTGGTTGTTCAGCAAACTCTCACAACCCTCCACCTGTAATGATGTAAAGTTGACCAAACGCTGTACATTGAGGAAGATGTCTGTCATTTGTGGTGGCTTGAGAAATAGTCCCTCCGTCAGCTGTTCGAATCGTCCATCCAGGTCAGCTTTGGTAAAGGACACTGGGTAAACCTCAGTCTTGAAGCTCTCTGAGCTGTGGATCAACAGACTGCTGTCCGGCACCAGCACCAAGACCTCATGGCCCCTCTGGTTGAGCTCTTTCACCAGTATCTTCATGCTAAGCCAGTGGCTTCCATCAACAGGCAAAACCAGCACCTTCCCCCCCTGAACGGGCCCCAGACTGAGGCAGCACAGCCAGGCCAGCAGCCCTAGAGTAGGAAACCACACCCCGACACTCATTTCTTCCTTGTTGTTCTGCAGGCTGGCTTGCTGTTAGAGCTTGTGGTAGTGGTTGTGAAGAAGCAGCTGTATGTGTTTGCTTGGTGGGAGTGACTGTGTGTAAATTCTTTAGGAAGTCACTGCCTTTGCTGTCCGGCTATTATGAAACCAACGGAAGATTGGTGTTTTTCAGTTTTTACCACATTTGTGTATTGATTTGCATTCCATACATATAACAAAATACAACTTTAGCTGCACAAGTGTTTAGTTTTACTCTCATGAGACATAAATAGTTGCAGCATTGTCCATACAGTATGTTTATACAATTTCATTGTAAAAAATAAAAAAGTCAAATATCAAAGAAAAGGAAAGCTGTTTTTCTTTTTCCATTTTTTTTAAAATCATGTAATTCCTATTTTCTGTAACAACTGTAATTTCCTATCCGTAGGAATGGACTCTAGTGGTCAGTATGACTTGCATGTAATTTTGGTTACACGTGTTTTCAGCTTATTGGTGCAAAGTCTTCCCTGTTTACTTTGAATGTTCTGTCTCTCAATCCCTCGAAAGGCAGACACATGCATGATTAATGGGTCCATTGCGTGTGTCCTCTTTTGACCTCCTTTATCTCCCACTGTAGTCTGACAACACACACAAACATTACCATTGTAAAGAAACTGGTGGCATGCAAAGCAAGCCGTAATAAGACACCCAAGCCCTCCTCCTGAGAAATGATAGAATCAGAGCAACAATGCAGTTTGTGGAATTTAACTTCTAAATAGTTCCAGACGCCTGTCGACTATCTAGAGAAATTGCAGGGGCTTGTACTGCTTTCATTACCAGACTACTCCTGTCTGTTACACCCATATCCAGCTCATAGTGTCTGCAGAACCTTAAGTATTCTTTGTAGGTTCATCAGAACTAGTGGCCCCTTTTACACATTGTTATTTGACAATAGGATATGATTAAAATATTGATTATGGTTGTTTCAAAGCTGGTTCATGATCAGATCTCAAACAGAAGGATGGGGGTTTGATCTTACCTTGCACCCCCCACCCAATGAGATTCCCAATCATGATATCTGAAAGGTCTGTACAATGACTGAAGTGTTGCCTGCTACTTTTACAAAGGACTCTGACTTTCCGTTTGAGAGACAACCAACTCTACCACTGGGACACAGCCACCCCAAAAAGCAGACGGATCAGACGCATCAAGTTGTCTATCGGCACAACCAAATAAACAAAACAACCCCAAAAATAATAATTTCAGATAAATAGAAATGGATTTTTCTTTTTTTTTTTCAGGTGTTCATACAGCAAAGAGAGCATTCCATGCAAATCTCTAGTGTAAGTGAAGTTTTGTTGTTGCTGCAAACTATTAAGTGATTATACTTTTTAACCAGATGGTGGTGCAAAAGTCATAAAGCCCCCTAATGTGGGTCTTTTCTATTGGTTTATTGTACCATCCAAAGCCAACCTGAGGATCATCTGTCTGTACACGAAGGTGTACCATTTCACATTTAAGCTCTGACCACAGCATATATTATGATCTGTTAAACTATGAATATTGTCTTTCTCTATCAATTTGATGGTGTTATACAGATGTGTGTGGGGATTTCCACCATTTTTTTTATCCCAGATTTTGAAGTGTAAATCCAGTTGAATGCATTTCACTAGTTTACTGATTCTTTTATGGAGTCTTAAAAACCCTGATTAATAATATAAAGGTTATCTATAGACAAATACAAATGAATCCGTTACACAATGCTATCAAGCAACATTTATCTTTATACAGGTGAAGTGCACTTCATAAATTGTTAGCAGCACAATATCAGGGATCATAATTCAGGGTTAATCTAATGTCAGTCATAAACCCTGTGACCAATTTTACCATAAAAAGTATCTGCAGAGTCATGCTGAGACAAACGAATAGTGTTAATAGTTACAAAAGGTGTGGTTTCTACATTTATACATTGTAGAAATGTGATGATAAGCATGACTGTGCGTTCTCTCAGATATCTTTCACCCGCTTTTACTTGAACACATCAGATTAAATCTGGGCAAATTGCTTCCGGGGACATTTTGCTGATAATCCTATTTGGAGTATCATTTGGATTACCACCAGAGTCCCCCTTGCTGAAATGTTGCAATCAGCCTTCAATTAATATATACCCTGTAAAGTGTGAGGGTCCGGGTGACACTAACAAGTGACCCCATATTGCACTGAAAACAAAGTGTGAAGGCTGTAAAATCTAGTTGTTATGTTAATGTGTGTGGTAATAATCAGGGGTTATTAATCATACCTGTAATATGAATTTTTTTATTTTTGCCAACTCCAAGATGACAGACATAAAGGATGTATGTATGTATGTGTTTTGCATAATCTGATTTTAAACAGAAACAGCTAAATGTCTTAGTTAAAAAAAAAAACAAACTCTTAAATCGCTGGACTTCATCATAAATCCATGAAACATGATATATTTCAGTTTTCTATTCATCAGCTCAGAATCTGATTATTTAAATATCTGCCAGATACACAGGTTTAAAAGCATGAGCTGGCAAAACATTTTGTCTGCACACATTCGATGTACCACTGTAACCACATGGTGGTGCCAAGGTCACGCAGATCCCTAAATTCCAGCCTTTTTCACACTAGTAAATGTTGTTGTCATGAGCACAAACGTTTGACCTTTTGCTGTCTGCACTGTGTGGACATGACTGATACCTGAAATGTAGAAAGATCCCTCGCGTTTTTGTTTCTAACCGGCGTGATTCAAAACTGTCCTCTCGAAATGGTTGTGTTGCAAAGTTGGAGGTCAATTTTGTGTAGCATGAAATAATGATCAAAATTACTTAAGTTTTACCAATTTTATACGAAAATTCAAGAGCTTGATTTATTATTGCATTATTTAGTCTGAGGTGACTGAATAAAGGCTTTAGGCTTTGCTTACAATCCTGACCCCCCCCCCCCCCCAAAAAAAAAAAAAGAAGACTGAAAACGTTTAGTGCTCAAATGAAACTACGTCGAAAGGGTTAAAACGTGGAAGTGTAACTCTACAAAAAACTGCTTACAGTGCCATCAAGCATTGTATTTGTCCTCTAGACAGATAGGGAAAGACTCCAACGATAGATCTTCGGTCTGATTCTCAGCAAGGATGCGCATGGACCTAGGAGTCTCCAGACGCGCAGCAGAGGATTTTGCGCACTGAAATCGAGTAGAGCTGAAGTGAGCGCACAGCGAGCAAACTGCTGTCTGACTGACCGCGGCTCCATCGCTGGGATACGGGCTCATTTGCTTTTGCTGTGTGAGAACATTGTCAATGCTTTAACACAACTGCTCGGGATTGAATAGGGGGGGACATAGTTATCACTTTATTTCGCTTTGGTTTGAGTCGCAACTTACAAGAAGAAGTCTTTTTTGTTTTTAACGGAGTCACTGAATGTAGCCGTTTCACGTTGTTTGTAAAGATCTCCAAAGTGTCCCATCTACTCGGGGAGAATTCAAACAACATTCCAGAAGACCTTTTGAGAGGATCTTCTTTTAAATGATTTTCCAAAGTGGGTTGAACAAGGATGATCCCAACCGCCTTAACTGACCAACTGAGGTATTACATTTGAAAAGCGGTAAGAACCACTTTTTTCTCTCCTACAAATACGATTTGAATGTATCTTACTAAGCTGCTGTGGGTTAAACAAGGGGCTTTCAAGTGACTTAAAATTGTACGTATTACCAATTATTTTGCAGGTGATCCCAGCAATGCTTCAGCGGCATCTTCGTCCGTCCCTCTCCAAATCTCGCAGAGAGGATTTAAGCGCTGCTCTTTTTGAATAAGTCGACAAGTCACTGAAGATGAGAGCTGTGCAAACATTCCTGTTTCTTTTCGTCCTGCACCAGGTAAGGAGTGAGATTATTAAATGGGAACAGATCTTAGATTACATATGTATAAAGATGCCCGTGGCCAAAAGGCTTTAAAGGAAACTTAGATACAGTTTTATAGCAGCCTTTATTTTTATAACCTCGCTGGCCCCATAATCAGACAGTCTTTATTTCTTATTCCATTTTGTTGTATTATATATGTTATATATTGTATAAATGAGTTATGTTAGTGTGTATACTAATGATTTATACATCACCTAAGTCAAAAAATATAGCTACATCATCCACCACATGATGTCAATCATCACAATTTATTAAATTCCTTGCATGAAATGTGATTTGACACAGTCATCATTAACACACTTGTTGGCCGTCATGAACTCGTTTAGTCTGGATAATCTTGTTTTGTGACAATTACCCAAATACATGAATAAGATAGGCAACATTTAGATGTTAAATTTCTTCACCATTTTTTTTAAAAGGATGCCCTATCAACTCTTAAATGATGTTGATACTTTTCAATTTCCAGATTTTATTTACCAGAAAAGAATCGGCAAAATGATTGGATTTCACTTTAAAAATACTGTGAATGTGTCATCTGCCATATTGTATGAAGGCACATGTAGCTGTTTTCTCATCCATTCACCATCCTTTGGTTGACGTTTTTCTCAGAAAGATTTGGATACAGAACAACATGTACAAATAGGCCTTCCAAGTTAATATGTGTAATTCTCATTATCAAAAATTCAACAGTTAAATCATTAGGAGGGGGTTTAATATGATTTTAAATGGTTATTTATATGAATCTTTGAATTAGTATCTATCAGTATGCCAGACTATCTTCAATGTTTCTTTTCATGTGGGGTTTGGTTATGAACGGTTTTCATATCTTTCTTCTTTCCCTTTAAGCCTCAGAAAAAACAACAATTCTTTATTCCCCTTGGTTTATTCAGCTGTAGTTCATAGATATTTGTGCTTTATTATGCTTTTTATTTTGCTTCTTGGCCTAGACAAGATTAGACCTCCATGGTAGATGTTTGACCCTGGGAAGGGTTTTTCTTATATGCCAAAATGGGGCCAGGGTTCAGAAAGGAAGAAAATGAAGAAAAACAGGAAAAAACTGAAGAACCCCCTTGTATTTGAAGGCTTTGCTCCTCCTTAATAACTTTTACAGTTTTATGAAATCAGTCCCTGTGAATGCGCAGGGAATTATTAAGCATTTACCAGAGACCGATTGTCTTAAGCTTCTGCGCGTAATCTTATTTTAAAGTAATTCTGTTTTTTATTGCATGAATAAGCTCTCAAAGGAACATAATCTTTAGGGAAATTTAAAGGTCTTTTCCTGCTTTTTCTCAACAGTTACTGATGTTCTTTAAAGGGAGGGAATATGTTTTATCTTGATCATTCTCCCTTCACAAACTCTTATTGTGATCAGTCCTGAAGAGGAAATGCCATTTGATTTAATTTTTTTTATTTTTATATATCTGTGCTGTTCTCAAATGGTGCTTCTTTGTGGACAGCCCTGAACTATGCAGATGCAGCAGCAAAGAGCTGTCTGCTCCGGCTGCTGTTGTAATCAGCCTGAAGCCTTCTGGGAGCTCTGCCTCCAGAGAGAGAGGAGGAGAGAGAGGCTGCCTCCCTGGAGAGGCCCTTTTGCTACGCCTTTGTGGCTTCCCTCCTAGCAGACTCACCACTGTCTGACCAGGGACATATTAACCCTTATCAATATTCCCTCACCCCCCCCCAAGTGTGAAAAATGCTTAAATACTAGGACAACGATTACTGAAAGCATGAAATATGCAAAATAACTTATTGAACTGCAAAAAGTCTTTAATTTATTTTTACATGTCCGCTTCGTAGAACACTTTTCTATGAGGAGATAATATAAAGATAGGGATACATGACATGCAGCAAAGTCGCAAGGCTAGATTATATTTGATAATATTACATGATCGCATCAGACATCTGAGCCATACGAATCCCCTTTTCCTGAAATACGTATTTGTAGATTTTCAGTTTAAATATATAGTCTTAATTTTCACATGTGGCCAAATTATCCAACTCAACAAACCCAAAAGAAAAAATGCTTCTCTTCACTTTGCGCCTTCATACACATCCACACAGAAATTACCCAGAACATGAATCAAGCAGTGTAACCCCAGTCCAGCATCTGTGCCATACCCCAGGGACAAATAAGAGGGTCAAAGCCATCCTGGGAGAATCCATTTCTTACCCATGACATCTGCTGCAGTTATCCTCTCTGCGATGACAGCAGAACAATGTAGATGAAGATAAAACATACTTGTGAGCCATGCTCCCTGTTTGTCCTGCCGTGCTTCTCTTCCACAGATTGCATGCAGTGAGTGGTTGTTGTTTTTTTTTGTAGTACTGTTTGGAATTAAGCGTGAGAAGACATTGACAAAGTCAATTAAGGGATCATTTCCTATCTCTGAGGTGAGAGCTAAGTGGGTATATTAAGTCATCTAGCCGGCCTATGCCGAGAGGGTCAGATGTTGTGTTAAATGTATAGCAGCATCTATAAGTACTGCCACAGGTCGGACTGAGCAGGGATGGAGCCAGCATGTTGATAGATGGGTGTGACGCATTAAAGAGACAAAGCTTAGCTGTTTACCAGTAAGCTTGTCCTCTGGTTCCGTTTCATGTTTGAAGTTCAGCTCTGCAACTGTGATGTGCACTGATTTAGGGGATTACAAGTCATTTCTCAAAGGATTTAGCATTCATTTCAACAGTTATTTATTAATTTATAAACATCTAGTCACTTGCTAAATTATCTGTTTGTGCATCAATTAAAGAATGAAATTACTAAAGTAAGCAATAAAGTAAGAGTTAAAGTAGCTTTGATACAGTTTTCGAGGCCAACATTATTTTAGAAATCTGCAGGAGCATTTTGCCTGCTTGCATTTCTTCTTTGCAGTGCTGGAGTGAGACAGTAAGGCTCTATTCAAAGTCAAAAGGGGTCCTGGCAAGGACAACAGTTTTATCCCTTTCTTCATAACAAAACACAAATTCCACATAAATTCCCTCTCTAAGGGCTCTTTAACCCATTTCCCCTTCCCCATGCTCAATTAGGTTTGGTTTTATTATTTATTTATTGTATATTTAAAGGCAGCTAACATTGGGAAGTGTAATAAAATGTACAGTGGGAGGATTAGGAGCAGCTCTTTAATCTCACGCTTCTGATAATACTGCATGGGCTGATTGATTAGTTTTTCAGGAAGCTTATGTCAGAAAAACCTAATCCGTCTTTGGATTGTGCCAGCCTTGTAAGGTTTTCCGCGCTGCCACTTTATCATGGTGGCGAATTACAGAGCTGCTGGGCTGTGATAAGGTCCTCGTCTCTTTTACAGACCACACCGCCCAACCCCCTGTACCCCCCTTTTTCCCTCTGGACAATAAAAAAAAAATGTGTTTATATTCTTCACATCCCTGCTCTGCTTGGTCTTCACATCAACCTCTTCCAGGATTTGCCTTGTTAGAAATAGAGAAAAAAAAAAAGAGTGGAACTTAAGTCTTCAAAAAAAAAAAAAAAAAACACACCACAGAAATTTGTTGCGGAATGAGAAAAATATGGGAGAAAATGTCAGGAAGGCCATAGAGAATTTTCTGTGGGATTGATTAAACATGCATTGACAGAGTGAAGGGGCCTTGTCCGTGCTGCCTGCAGGAATCTTTTTGGAGCTTACATGGTGCTGATGTGTATCTGTGCTCATAGAGTGGCCGCAATCTTTCTAGCCAGAGGGCTTGACTAGATAATCCCTCATAAACAATACTGTCTGTGACATTTGCGGTCCTCAGCCTATATGTTGTCTCGAACCTCTGAAGAAAAGGTTGTCATTTCTGGCTGCCATATCCCTAAAATGTAGCTCGGAGCACTACAGGGTTGTATTGACAGTGTGAAGCCCTGCAACCTATTCCTTCTCCAATCATCAATCATAATTGTGCGTGCTAAGGCAATGAATCCAGGGCTAAGGTCTCGAAATGAGGACGAAAAATTACAAGATAAGTGCGAGACAACTGCCTTTTGCATTGAAATGAATCATAATCTGGCTTCCATACACCCTTTTAGATTTAAGACAAGTCATGTTTGGATGAGGTGAGAATCCCGAGGAGCACCCAGTTTGGCATCTTTGTTGCAGGAAACATTCAGTTTAATATAATTTTGAGTCTGCTGATCTTGGTCCACAGCTATGAATTTTTATGGGCGACGTGCAGCCTTAGGCGATGTTAGACACGGAGGCTCCGCTATACCTTATAGCTTTTTCATCACCACTCTGCAGGGTCAGAACCATCCAGCGCTCTCTGATGCACAGCCTCCCTGTTTAGTGTCTCTTTTACTGTCTGCATAGCTGCTGCTCTGCTTCATAATAAAATACAAAAGTTTTGGTGGTTTAGTCAAGGACAGGTTTCTGTCTAAATCTTTTCAGATGATTGGAACGGTTGTCTTGTTGCTGTACAGCTGTGATATCTTCACATAAGTCAGGACACAACATGTCTCATAGTATAAACCAACATTCTGTTTGTCAAATTAGCAGAGTTTTTTTCCTTTGAACGTGTATTTCCAAAACACTGACATATGAAGTTCTTAATTACTTTGGAGCCCACTTTGTCACAGTTTAGGTAAATGATTGACCTCTTTAATTAAAACTGTTTTCCTTTTCTTTTAAAGGCAATGTGCGACAGCTTTAGAACAAGTACACTAAATCTCCTTTCTGATTATTCTCAGTTTTGCACTCTCATTTTCCTGTGGGCTTTGAGGCCTTTCTGTTCAGCTTGTCATTTCCTGCCCTAACAAAGCACTGTCAGCGCCCCTCTGTCTTTGTATATTTCTTGTGAAGTACCTGTCTTCAGAGGTACTCAGAAAGAAAGGAAGCAACGTCTTTACTGCTCTTGTTTCTTCTTCAAAGGGAGCTGTTTTTCTGAAATCAGCCGAGGCACAATCTGCTTTCAAAATAGAAACAGTTGTTCTGTCAAAATTTGGTGGATGTACCTTTGAGCAA